GTTTAGGGTTGAGGGTCAGGGTTTAGGGTTTAGGGTTGGGTTTTTGGTCATGTATTTTAGAAAGCTGGGTCTTAAGGGTAGGGTTGAAGCTGGAGGGTTTACGCTAGGGCTTCGCAGTACAGCTTAGGAGCCAGACGAATCATTGGTTCAGGGTTTCAGGTTTCAGGGATTCAGGTGTTGGGTTGTAGGGGTTTAGGGTGTGCTGTAGGGTTACAATCCTGTACTGTACCTACCTTGTACCCTAACCCTAAACCCTAATCCCTAAACCCATCTAAACCCATCTAAACCCTAAACCCTGAACCCTAAACCCTAAAACCGAAACCCTAAACCTTAAACCTCCAACCCTACAGCGCTCTGCCCCAGAGCTTTGCACAACCAAGGCTGCAGAGTCTCCCCGGGAGGATCCCATTAAAGCATATTTTTAGGGTTTAGGGTTGCGGGTTCAGGGTTTAGGGTTTCGGGTTTAGGGTTTAGGGCTACTGTAACCTAGCTTCCCTAAACCCTAAACCCCTAAAGCTACTTTCCAGAACCCCAGGACCTACATCTCAGATCCTTTCAGGATCCTTACGCCCCTGCACACCCCAACGCACACTAGGGTTTAGGGTGTAGGGTTTAGGGTTTAGGGTTCAGGGTAGTTCTCTAAATTAGAGTCCCTTCTTAGATCCCAAATATAGTACGGCACCCTTAATGGAAGAGGACCCTAGAATGGACACGTATTTAGAGAACTACCCATGCGACACCCTACACCCTAAACCCTAAACCCTAAACCCTAAACCCTAAACCCTAAACCCTAATTGTGGCGTGTCCTGGCCTTTTGGGGTAGCGCTCTGCATGCCGTGCAGAGGCTCTCGGAAGCCCTCGCGAGGATGTGCAGATGCCGCAGCCTCAGGGGATGTGGGGATGTCAGGTGTTGTAGGGTTTAGGGTTTAAAATATTGGGTTTAAGGTTTAGGGTTTAGGGTGTAGGGTTTAGGGTATGTCAGGGGGTGTGTTGGGTTTAAGGTTTAGGGTTTAGGGTGTAGGGTGTAGGGTTTAAGGTATGTCAGAAGGTGTGTAGGGTTTAGGGGATTTCAGGGGGTGTAATTCGGGTTTAGCAGTTTATGAATCAGGTTCTAGGGTCATGTTTTTTCGGTCTTCGGATGTTTGCAAGTCGAGGATCTGAGTTTAGATGCCCAGGGTGATGGTGCTAGGCTTCTAATTGGTGCAGCATGCCATCGACATGTTTCCAGAGTGAGTTTAGGGTTTAGGGTTTAGGGTTTAGGGTAGTCAGACCTGCCATATCACCATCTGTAAACTCCATGACGATTCTGACCCCCTAAAGCCTAAACCCTGGTCAAGCGCCTACTTCCTGAGTGCCCGTGCCCACGTAAAGATACCCGGAAATCCTAAACTCTAAGCGCTGACCTTAAGCCTTACCTGTGGCTCAGAAAACCTAGCTTTTGAGCCACTTTCTATATATATATATATACAATATTATATGTATATATAGAAACCATCATAAAAAACCTACCTTTTAAGGAACCATATATAGAAATTATAGCAAAATCGACCGTTTAAGGGAGTATATATAGAAATCATCAAAATCAACCCCAGAAAAGGTAGGGGTTTTCGGCTGCAGGCAAACCCTAAACCCAAATGCGAACGTTCTACTCCTTAAAGGGACCCTTAAAGGAGCCCTTGCAGGAAGGCCTTGTGGGCACCGAAATAGGGTTCCCTTTAAGAGTCCCATAGGGTTCTGTATTTAGGGTTTAGGGTTTAGGGGGTTTAGGGTTTAGGGTTTAACAGGGTTCGCTTTAACCCTAAATCCTTAACCCTAAGCCCTAAACCCTAAACCCTCAGCCCTCAGCCCTAAGCCCTAAACCCTAAGCCCTTCAGGGGGCCCCAGTTTGAATCTTTTTCCAAGGTCAAAGGAAGTGGCAGGCGAGAGCTGCCTTTCCAACAAAAGACGCATTGAGGGTTTGGGGTTTAGGGTTTAGGGTTTAGCGTTTTGGGTTTGGGGTTTAGGGTTTAGGGTTTGGGGTTTAGGGTTTACAGTTTAGGGTTGAGGGTTTAGGGTTTACGGTTTAGGGTTGAGGGTTTGGAGGATGGGGGGTTTACGGTTTAGGGTTGAGGGTTTAGGGGTTCGGATAGGGGCTTTTTGCATAATGTTGAGGGTATGGGGTTAGGTAGCTCACTGTTCGGGCTCATGTCGGAGTTGTAACTGCAGGTTTGCAGTTGGCCCGCCTGAAGTCAGCATCAACATGCCGGAAGACCTGTCCAGTCTCGGGCCTAGGGTTCAGGGTTTAGAGCCTAGGGTTTAGGGCATGTGGGGTTTCTGCCGACGGCACAGTAAAAGGCTTTAAGCCCCAACGGCTTTTTCCCGGCAACCCCGAAATAGTTTAAACTCAAAACCCTTAACCTTAAACCCTAAACCCTAAAGCCCTAAAGCCCTAAAGCCCTAAATCCGAGAAGCCCGAAGCCCTACACCCTGAACCCTAGTTCCTCATCTGGGGCTTCGCCTGCTGTCTTTGCAGCGGCTGTAGCAATGGGTTTAGGGTTTAGGGTTTGTAACATGGGCTTAGGGGTTAAGTGTTGAAGGGTTTAGGGTTGGTTATAAGGGTTTAGGGATTCGGGTTTGTAACAAGGGTTTAGGGTTTAGGGTTTAAGTGTTTAAGGGTTTAGGGCTTTGTGATTCAGATTTTTTTTGACCTTGTTGTGGACTCGCTGCACAGGGACACCTCTGAAGCGGGACCACAGTTTAAGACCCACCATGTGGCCGTCGGACGACTGCAGAAAGCCCCCTGTGTTGGTTTCGATGAGGTATAACTGTTGGTCTTGTTTTGTTCACGTGACTCTCAAACTGCGATGCTCACATACACTCCACAACGCTGACAAAGCCAGGAGACCTTTAGATCTCGGGTCTGAAACCCTTAGTTGAGGGTTCCATATCCCAAAGTCGAACACTCGGGCTCTCAGGTGCTGCAGAAACCCGAAGCCCTGAACTCTCCAAGACCCAAATCCTCAGTAAAGCCTAAATTTAGGGTTTTAGGGTTTTAGGGTTTAGGGTTTAGGGTTTAGGGTTTAGGGCTTTTAGTTTTTAGGGTGTAGGGTTTAGGCCCTAAATCCTTCGAGGAGGGTCGGTGACCGTCAGCACTGATGCATGGCTCGCGCTGCGTCATGAAAGGACCCCTCTCGAGCAGTGGTTTGGTCATTCTGCTTGTTCAATCGGGGCTGCAAGGGATTTAGGACCCGAAACGAAACAAACCTAAACCAGAAGCCGTAAACTCTACCTTAAACCCTAAACCCTAAACCCTAAAGCCTAAACTCTCTAAACCCGAAGCCTTAAATCCTCAACTCCCCTAAACGCTAAACCCTAAGCCCTAAACCCTAACACGAGAGGGACGCCGCTCGTGCTAGTTCATCGCACAGGGAGGTTTGATCTTCAACTCTTGGAAGGGCTCCAGGGTGTGCAAACATGCATCCACCACGGTTTGGGGTTTAGGGTTTCGGGTGGTCCGCGCATGCACGTGATTGCATATGGATAGTTCTATAGATTAGGATCCCTTTTGGGGTCCCTTTTATATAAGGGTGCCGTACTGTTTGGGGATCCAAAAGGGGACCCTTCTTTAGAAAACTACTCACATGTGATCTTTTCTGTGCATGTCGTGGTGTATCTTTATTCGCACCTGCTGACACTGCCATTGTCTGCATAGGTCTATGTGTGTGTGTGTGTATGCACATGTGCTTTCTGTACGTATTTATCTGTCTGTCGATAACACAAACCCTGAGCTATAAACCTTAACCTCTCAACCCCCAGCATTCAATGATTCAAGGTCAAACCCCCAACCTTAAGCCCGAAAACCATAAACCCTTAAAGCACTGAGCCTTTGAAGCGTGAGCGGGCGCTTGAAGCCAGAATAGAAACCCTGTAAGACCCCTTCAACAACTCTACAAAGCCGTCAAATGGCCTGTAAAGCCGCAAATCATAGAAAGCACTGCAACAACAGTGTACAGAACCGTGAAGGATGCTGGGAAAAAGCTTTGTAAGACCCTTAAAACAATTCCGCAAAACCCCTAGACACACGCACACACACGCGTAAAATGACCAGATCCCAAAACCTAGAGCTCTAAACTAACCCCTGAACCCCCCAACCCCTAAACCCCTAAACCCCAAAGCCCTAAACAACCATACATCGTTTTGAAGCGTAAGTCGGCGCAAAGTCTTAAGCCTCAAAAGCCTAAACCATCGCAAAACCCTAAACCCTAAACCCTAAACCCTAAACCCTAAACCCTAAACCCTCGGAGTGGAACGGGAGGTCGCAGCGCGAGCGGCAGATCAAGGCTTTGCAGGCGCAGGCCGCATCCGAGAGTTCTTTTTTTTGGTTTAGGGTTCAGGATTTTTTGGGGTTTGGGGTTTAGGGTTTAGGGTTTGGGATTTTTTGCGGTTTAGGGTTTAGGGTTTAGGGTTCTTGCTAGAAGATCGGGGCCTCGGATTAAGATTTAAAGGTTGTGAGGGTTAGCGTGCTTCCCATGAGGTTATGCTGCTATGGTTTGGATTATTTGCAACCTTTATGGGTTTTCAAAGGATGTCGGGGTTTTGGTGTTTCAGTTGGTAAGGTTTTAGGGTTTGGGCTATTTTAACCCACGGCACAAATGAGGGTTCAGGAAAGGCAGTTAAGGAGTTCAGAGTTAGCTGTTGGTTTCGGTGTTGCTTCTGAGTTACTCGCCCGTGATGGTCTGCTTTGCTCATGCAAGCATTGAGGTGATGGCCTTTATCATGGTCATCATCGTCATCGCCATCGTCATCACCATCATCATCATCACCATCATCATCGTCGTCATCATCATCATCTTCTTCTTCATCATCACCACCATCATCATCGTCATCATCATGTTTATCATCATCTTCATCATCATCATCATCATCATCATCATCATCATCATCACCTTCATCAACAGCATCATCAGCATCAGCAACATCAGCAGCATCATCATCAGCATCATCATCATCATCATCACTACCACGGGTCACCACCACCATTGTTATAATCATCATCATTCCTATCACCATACCCATCACCATAGTCATGTTCACTTTGCTATCAGCACGGTCGTCATCATTCTGTCATTCGTTTGGCGGAGATTGCACATGCTTTTGCTTCTTGTGCCGCTTTTGTTCCTGTTGGCTGCCGCTGCCGCCATGCGTAGCTCGACTCTTGTGGGCGCCTCTCTGGAATAGGGTTGTGTTTATTCAGGAACAGTAGTACTAAAGTTTTGGGCTTCTGTAGGAGCGTTTCGAAACGCCCTAAAAGCCCAGGGAAGCCCCTCGTAAAGTTCCGTATACGCACCATCCCACCCTTTTTCATCAAGGCCCCGAAATCCTGAAGCCTAGACCCTAAACCCGCCAATAAATCGCCCTGAAGCCCACCACTTGAAGGATACCCTAAGTTTTAGGGTTTAGGGTTTAGGGGGAATTCCTGACCCCAACAAGGTTGCGTCGGGCCAGAAGGAGCTCCAGAAGCTCGATGAGGCGTTTCGAAAATCTTGTTTCGGTTCACGGCTGTGAGGGCTAACCCTAAACCCCAAACCCTAAACCCTGAACCCTAAACCCTAAACCCTAAACCCTAGAGGTGCGAGCACCTGTGGGCACGCGTTGAAAGAAGGGCTGTCCAGCATCTTTCCCAGAAGCTCCTTATCTCCCTTATATCAGGAGGGTGTCTTACAGAAGCCCGGTTTTCGGGTTTAGGGTTTAGGGTTTTGGAAGCCACAAAGCCTCAAACAAATGTTGCTTTGATTCAGGATTTGGAAATCGTCCCTCTGTGAATCTGCGTGGGTTTATCGGGTGTGGCGTTCGGGGTTTCACAGGGGTTTTTGGGGTTTTGGTTAGAGTATTCCGTTGGTCTTGTATTCAGCAGCTCTTCATCCGTAGTCGCTGCTGTGTTTAGACAGATCTTGACCTAACCAGGAAGCCGTGAGCTCGCCCCCAGGCTTCTGACTCGAGGCACGAAGAGCCACGGTTTAGAGTTTAGGGTTTAGGGTTTAGGGTTTAGGGTTCAGGGAAACCTTAGCATCAACCTCACGCTTTGCAAGTTACGCCGCGCAGCCAGGAAGATCCTTCAACCCCTTGACCCTATTTTGGGGGTCTGAAGAATTACCAACACTATTTTGGGGGTTCCTTAGTATATTTATAGCATAACATACCCCAAGGCCCCTATACCCCAAACCTTACAGTAGCCCTTATAGAACCCTTTAGGGAACCCTTGAAAGGAACCCCAACCCCAAAACCCTATTAAACATTATCAAAGCCCCCTACATTAGAGTAAACCCAACACCCTACATCCTAAGCCCTGGACCCGAAACCCTAAACCCTAAGCCCGAGGCCGGAAACACTGGAGCCCCAGAACTTTTGACCCCGAGATCCTAGATCCTAAACAATAATGTAGGGGCCTTCACAAGCACGATGGGGCTCCTTCAAAAGGGTTACTACAAGGGGTATTATAAGGGTTTTGGGTGTCGGGGCCTCTTGGGGCATATTGTACTATAATTATGACAAGGAACCCCCAAAATAGTATTAGCAATTAACCCTAAACCCTGAACCCTAAACCCTAAACCCTAAACCCTAAACCCTAAACCCTGAACCCTAAACCCTAAACCCTAAACTCTAAACCCTGAACCCAAAACAAGCAAAGCCATGGCCGCCTCTGGCGATGTGGAAGACTGGGGGCAGGCCGGGAATCAATGGGATGAGCCACGGTTTTCGTGGTGTTAAGGGCTTTCGGGGGGTTTAGAGGTTTAGGGTTTAGGGTTTAGAGTTTAGGGTTTAGGGTTTAGGGTTTAGGGTTTAGGGTTTAGAGTTTAGGGTTTAGAGTTTAGGGTTTCGGGTTTAGGGTGAGGTGGTAGGGGCTTTCGGGGGGCTTAAGGTTTAGGGTTTAGGGTTTAGGGTTTAGGGTTTAGGGTTTAGAGTTTAGGGTTTAGGGTTTAGGGTAAGGTGGTAGGGGCCTTCGGGGGGGGTTTAAGGTTTACGCTTTTTGGGATTTCGGGTTGAACCCTAAACCCTAAACCCTAAACCCCAAACGGGCCTTAGTTTAAGGGTTTAGGTTGCCATAAGGTTTCCAGAGGGTTTGGTCCTCTGCCCTTCGACGGGTTCGGTAGGGGGTCCTATGAGAGTGCTGCAGGGTTGCTAATATAGGGGCCTAGATAGTTACCAATACTATTTTGGGGGTTAAGGGTTTAGGGTTAATTACCACTACTATTTTGGGGGTTTAGGGTTTAGGGTTATATAATTACCAGTACTATTTTGGGGGGTTCCTTCTTCTAATTCTAGTATAATGGGCCCCAAAACCCCAGTCTAATTATTAAGGCCCCTACACCCTATACCCTTATAGCCCCTTTAAAGGTACCCTTAAAGGAAGCCTATGCTAGTTATTAAGGCCCCTACATTATCGGGTTCCATGAGGCCGCGATGACGCGAGGCATCTGCGTTCGGCCTGCAGGATTCCGGCTTTCGGGTTCGGGGCGTTCGGGTTTTAGGAATCATCCTGACGGCAACCCTGAGCCATAAGCCTAAACCCTAAACCCTAAACCCCCTAAGCCCCTAGGCCCTAAACCCTAAACCCCCTAAGCCCTAAACCCTAAACCCCTAAGCCGGTTTAGGGTTTAGGGTACGTCTGCTTTTTAGGAGTCAGGGTCTGAGGCGCAATATTTCATAAGAATAACAATAACAATAGCAAGACTAGTAACTAACTTGTGGTTTTAATAAGACCAAGAAGAGTGCTAGTAACAACACTAGTACGATACTAGTAGTAATAGTAATAACAGTACTATGAGGAAAGGGTTTGAGGTTCAAAGGGGCCTAGTTTTTTGGTTTTCAATTCCCCCGGTTCTAAGAGCCTGCGCTTGATTTGAATGGTTACCAGTTTCAGAACCACTAGGCCTTAAGTCTTCTTTAGGGTTTAAGGTTTAGGGTAGGCCCTACGAAACCTGACGATTTTCCACTCCAAAAACGCAGTGCCGCACACAGTAACCCGCGAAAGCCTTTCCAGCCAACCCTAAACCCTGTAAGCCCTAAA